AGAGAGAGAGAGAGAGAGAGAGAGAGAGAGAGAGAGAGAGAGAGAGAGAGAGAGAGAGAGATCAGTGTGGTGTGTGTTGGGATTGGGGAGGAAGAGAGTGGAATATGGAAAAAAATATCGATAGCCTGAAATACCTGGCGCAGGGCAGTTAATCATAAGGCCGCTCCAAAAAGAAAAGCCCGAGGGAGAATGTTGAGGAGGAAGATCTTGAGGAGGCAGGAGACGTGGTGGTGGAAATTACAGACAGGACAAAGAAGGTGCGAGGAAGGAAGTGTGTTGGGTGAAGTGGGTTTTTCTCTCTCCTGCTTTCCCTCTCTCCTTCTTGCGCGTATGCAATCGTGTTGAGATCTTAAAAGAAATGGAGCGATCTTGATAACAAATGGCTCGTTTACGTCCACCGGATAAAGGAAAATAAGTATTTTTTACGTCGGGCGTCACAAAGGAAGGGCGGCCGGTCGAGGGAGGAAGGGGGAGGTAGGGAGTAGGACGGAGGCAGGAATGGAAGTAGGAGGTCAGGTGGTGATCGGGCTGAGGAAGGAAGGGGAGGGAGGAGATCGAGAGAAGGAGGAGGTCAGACAGAGATCGGGCGAACGAAGGGGGCAAGCGAAGGGGAATGAGGGCGGCCAGGCGGACGGAGGCCAGAGGGAGGTTGAAGAGAAGGTGCGGAGGAGGCCTGTAGGGAGGGGAAAGGCGGCAGAGAGTAGGGCGGAAGCAGGAGGTCAGGTGGAGATAGGGCCAAGGAAGGAAGGGGAGGAAGGAGATTTGGGGAAGGAGGAGGTCAGTGCAAATCGGGCGGAGGAAGGAGTAGGACGAAGGAGATAGAGGGAAGGAGGTCAGGTGGAGATTGGTCGAAGGAAGGGGAGTTAAGTGGCCAGGCGAGGGAGGGAAGAGGGAGGGTTAAGAGAAGGTCCGGAGGAGGCCGGGAGAAAAGGGAGGCGGCAGGGAGAAGTAGGGCAAAGGGAGGGCAGAAAGCAGAACGTAGTTTAGAGGTTGAGTGACGTATGGAGAAAGGGAAGAGGTAAGGGGGAGACGAGCATGGGAAAAAGCGTGAAGAGGAAGAGGAGGAAGTGGAAGGAGGGCGTGAGGAAGGGGAAAGACGACAGGGTGAAGTCGGGCGGAGGGAGGGCAGAGGTTGGGTGGKKTACGGAGCAAGGGAAGAGGTCAGGTAAAGGTGGAGAGAGAGAGAGAGAGAGAGAGAGAGGCACACACAAATGGATTGGTGGGAGACGGAGAATGAAGAGGGGCGCGTGAGAATTGGGGAAAGGAGGGGAGAGAAGGGCAGCAGAAGCCACAGTAGGACGAGGGGAGGAAAGAATTTGAAGAGGCGCAGAGCGATAGCGCGGTTGGAGTTGGGAGGAAGAGGAGGGGGACCGTGCCACAACATCATGGGAAGGAAGGTACAGTGACAAAGAGGAAGAGTGGGAGGGATAGCGGTACATGTCATGGATGGGGGAAAGATGGGGGGACGAGGAAGGGGGGAAGGGCTAAGGTGGAGTGTGGAAGGCCCAAAATCGCGCCGCGTGGCAGCGCCACGAGGAGCGATTTTTTCTGTGTTTCTTTTTTTTCCCCTTATGTGTGT